GAGGGAGCTTACGCATATGTATAAGTCCACTACTTTAATCATCTTACACAAAGGGATTAGAAATGCTAATTCACAGAGACTCGGATGGGGACTGGCTAATATGGTAGTGTGCGCAATGTAGTGTGTCAGTGGTGCGCAGTGTAGTGTGTCAGTGGTGCGCAGTGTAGTGTGAGGCGCCTGAATCAACTATATGTCTTCTTAGTTTTAAATTGTTCTAACGTCTTATATTTCTATTGTTAGTTTTCGTTTATTTAGTTTGTTAATTTTGCGGGGTGCGTGTGTGTGTGGGGTGTTATAGCAGTGCCCCCTCTGGCCGACCCTGACACGGGGCGCTGGTGGGGCTGCAAATGTGGCCTTTCTCTCGAGTCGCGGTTGAGCACGGAGGTCTTACACTGACCCACACCCTGCGTTCCCACGATGCTCTGCCACGCCTCCACCACGCCCACACACTTGGTACTCACACACACACACACACACACACGCACACACACTTATACTCGCTTATAATATACATGTATAGATAATTAATGAATATACATACAGCCTCTCTCTCTCTCTCTCTCTCTCTCTCTCTCTCTCTCTCTGTCTTTTGTGATGTTTATATTCATAGAAATATGATGGAGGTTATAACTTACCGAAGATGGCAAACTCCTTTTCTGGCAATCACCCCCATGAACCCAAAGACACGTGTAGGCCTACCCCACCACCTCCCCCATTACCACCTAAGATACTTGTAGGCCTACCATACCACTACCCTTCCCACGACCCCCGAGATATGTACAGGCCTGACCTACGCCCCTCCCAGTCCCCTTTCATCTGCTCACAGGCCAGAGATGTGTGTGTAGGCCTAGTCAACCCTCCCAGCTCTCATGGTGTGGGTGACAAACACAGGTGTACATCATGTCCTTTGATCCGTAGGCCTACTCTGACCGTCACGAGAACACGAGGGTCCTGACCTGCGTGATGTACCAACACACACACACACACACGTACACGTACACAAAACACACACACACACACACACACACACACACACACACTGACACACACCAGGTGATTCAGGACGGGCTACTTTATATGCATGTTTGATTAGCGGTCAGCTGTAAATAGTGGGAGCGTCCCGTGTGGGGGTCAGCGTGTGCCAGACACGGGTCATGGGGTGGAGGAGTGTGTGTGGTGCATCAGGGCAATTAAAACATGAGTTAAAGGCTAAAAATGCCGAGGTGTGGGGACAGAGGAGGAAGAGTGAATACGGGGAGGATAGAAAATGTAAAAAAAGCTACAATGTGGGTGAGAGAGGTGGCGGGGGTGTCGACAGAGGCAGCAAGGGGGAGGCGGGGTACCATGGGGTGTGGCTTAGAGACAGCGAAGTGGGAGGGTGAGGGACGATTGAGTGGGGGACTATAAAGGCAGGTGTTACTATGAGAGTCATCTACCTCACTCATACAGGACAATGAAGCTTTTAGCGAATTCTTAGCTCCTTCCATCCTCGGAGCATGAGACATTCTCCAGGCCGTATTAAGAGACGTATGACTGAGCATGGGAGAGGACTCGGCCTGGAGGTGTGGGCTGTGTGATGTTACAGGCCGTATTGCTGTTGGAACTCAGTGTGTATTGATCAGCCTGTGTGTGTCAAGAGACCTCAGCTCAGGGAACAGGTTGGTAGACGGCAACTGGTGTACGTGCGTTGGATGGTATTCATTTTATGGGTGAGGCATTATCAGTGATGGTCATAAGACAGCCTCACCTAATAGACAACAACATTATAGTTCATCGGAATCCAGGCGGTAGTCTAGACCGCCAGAAGACAGCCTCGACCACCAGATGGCAACCAAACCGGCTGGACGACAGGCAGACAAGAGCCCCGATGATCAGACAAAATTCAAGACAGATCAAAGATTCGACAGCCATGATGTCTAGACGACAGCCAAGATGATCATACAACAACCACGTCATCTACAAAACTGATGTCAATAAACGCCTGAACAGAGGGAGGGAGGAAACACTGAGTGAGGGAAGTGGTCAGCGGAGACAGAGAATAATAACCTATAAAGTCTGCACAATTCTTGAGCGGTGAGTCAGCACCACCTACAGCGGCCCCGGTGGCCAGCCAGCCGGGGACGGAGGGCAGGAGGTAGTCAGGCAGTGACGGAGGGCAGGAGGTAGCCAGGCAGTGACGGAGGGCAGGAGGTAGTCAGGCAGTGACGGAGGGCAGGAGGTAGTCAGGCAGTGACGGAGGGCAGGAGGTAGCAAGGCAGTGAGAGCAGGAGGTAGCAAGGCAGGCATGGGAAGGGAAGGAATACCAATGATAAGAAGAGGGGGGGTGGGTGTTTTGGTTCAGGGAAGCAACAGAGTGAGGCGAGTTAGAAGGTGTGAAAGGTGAGGGAACGTAATTCGAGGACAGTCAAGCGCTGGACTATTGTGGGAATCAGCGACGGATACTAATGGTGGGGTAATAGATGGTAAGGAAGAAGTAATAGGAGATTTCCTTGAATAGAACCCCAGAACATGACCATTGTACAATCATCCTTGGGATATAAACTCGTAGCTACACAGGACAGATCACCACTGGCCAGCTTACCTAAGGTCACTACATCATCAGACGTGTCAACCTTACCATATAGAATTGACATAACAACAGAGAGTTGGACACCTCAGAGTGTTAAATCATCGTCCTCAGAGGGTACTGGGTGGAGAGGGTGTGAGGGTGGAGCAGTAGCGGGAGGAGAGGAAGTGAAGATGGAGCAGTACTGGGTGGAGAGGGTGTGAGGGTGGAGCAGTAGCGGGTGGAGAGGAAGTGAAGATGGAGCAGTACTGGGTGGAGAGGGTGTGAGGGTGGAGCAGTAGCGGGTGGAGAGGGTGTGAAGATGGAGCAGTGCTGGGTGGAGAGGGTGTGAGGGTGGAGCAGTAGCGGGTGGAGAGGGTGTGAAGATGGAGCAGTATTGGGTGGAGAGGGTAGTAGCTGGGTGGAGAGGGTGTGAGGGTGGAGCAGTAGCGGGTGGAGAGGGAGTGAAGATGGAGCAGTATTGGGTGGAGAGGGTAGTAACATAGTGGCGGGAAGTTCACCTTTGACATTATGCAGATGACCAAGTTTACAAGACACATGAGTACTGGACCCACCGTGACCAAGTGTCCTGTTGCTCTGCCTCTTGTGGTGCTTTCTCTCCGGTCTATTTTCTCTGGCACTTGGCTGACCCCGCTGTGTGTGTTTGTGTGTATGGCAGGGAGGGGAAGGAAGGAAGTGAAGGGAGGTAGACACAGTTTCCTCTTGACTCAAAAGACGACATTGAGGGTGACAGGAGATCCGACAGGTCCAGGCTAGGGTATATAGAGTCATCTGCCTGCTGTGGGGATCCTCGCCTACTGTGAACTAGATAATCATATGGATAAATATAATCCTCTGTAATATAAAGTTAAATATACAAAGTAATTTACAAATTAACCCATGAAAAAAAATTCTGATGTTAATTACCCAGTCAGTTGCTCTTGGTAATCGGAAAAGAAAAACAGTAAAGTTGAAGTGGTGTGGAAACTAGTGGCGTGGTAGGCTGGTAGCCAAGGGCGGCACAGTGGCCTGGTGGGCAGGTGGGAGTCACATGCACGAGAGGGAGGAGGGAGAAGAGACAGGTGAAGCAACTCAGGGAAGAATGATGTGTGGAGACTGAGAGAATGTGTACTACAACAATCCACATTGTTAGGAGAGAGGAGTAGGCAGAGAAGAGCGGGTCATTATCATGTTGAGTGAAAAAAAAGCAGCAGAAGGCCCTGCACGCTATGGCCAGCATCAACAAGCACTACAGGAGTGACTGGCGAAGTTTTTATCAATGTGGTGGAGTGCACATGTACTGTTACCTCAAGGATTGGCCAAGCTACGGGCTGCTGCTGCCCCGGGAATATTGACCATGTTCACTACCCTGTCACACACACTAAGTAAATACTAAACACAGTGCCGCTGATGGCCGTTGAGTCATCCTAGTCTTCATCGGTTATTTTTATCATGTCCAAATCACCTTGATGTATGTGTGGATAATACGAGACGGTAAATTAGTTGATACTGATGAGACAATTATATATATATATATATATATATATATATATATATATATATATATATATATATATATATATATATATATATATATATATATATATATATATATATATATGACACATTGTGCACCTAAGACTACTGTGTTAGAGTAATAAGTACAGCAGATGTCCCACTTGATCCATCGGTGACAGGCAGTGTACAGCGGCTCCTCTTGCGTGGTGCAGCCAGTGAAACACGCCGTCAAATAATGTGGTCAGGGAGAAAGTCAGCCACAAATTACTGCTAGCAGAAACTTGTAGGTTTGATTTAATATATAAGAGCCCTAGCTGGTGTGGGAAGCCAAGGTGCTGCAGTGTTAGTCCACTACACTATGATATTAAGTGTTGTCTCTCAAAAGACTAAGTAATTGACAAGTGCAACAACACTATCACCATCTCTCTCGAAATAAAGGGCTTTCTCGTAAGTGTCCATACTAAGAACTCGATATAGCCGATAACATCCATACATCCTTTAATATATATATATATATATATAATATACCACTGTAATAAAACCGAGACAAACCAGTCTGGTTTTGACCTGTGTGTCGTAAACAGTATCCTTATGCTATAATTATATAGATGGCGCTGTGAACTAAATTTGACTTGTGATGATAATCTTTTAAGTTATGCTTATCCGCCTGCGTGGCCTCACGACATGATATCTTAGTTCATAAGACATGGGGAGGCAGGTGCTGAGGTGTGCACCTTCTGTTGAACGTGGGCATTATATATACGGCGCCTGTCAGTGAATAAAACCGTGTAAAACTGAGTGTATACGAGGTAATGTGTAAGAGAATTACTGTAAGAGCTATGTGCCCGGTGCTCACTATACTGTGTGTATACTACAACTATACAAAAATGTTAAGTTTAATGGTAGACACGAGGTTGATGCAGGCAGAGGTACTTACCATGTATGGGAAGTGGTTGACGAGAAAGCACAGGGCCGCCACAGCCAGAGTTGTCCCCCAGCGGAAGTCTGAGGCAGGCGTGCGAGGCACCCCACTGGGCTTGTTGACGCCCACACCCTTGTGTGTCCTGCCGGGCAGCGCGGGTGGCGGCCTGTGGGGCGGTGGCGGGGGCACTAGGTCCGAAGTGGAGGATGCGGCGTGCATAGCTCCATGCACGCCGCCCATCCGTCCTGACGACGCATTGGATGATGTGGTGGATGCAGACGAGGCCGCCGCATGGAGAGCTGTACCCTGGCGTCCACCACTGGAGGAACTGGTAGAGGAGGTGGTGGTGGCAGCGATGGGTGCCATGTCTGAGTGTGCAGGAGAGGGCTCGTTACACCCTCGCCCTGCCTGCACTACCCCCACACTCACCCCGCCAGCCACCACCAGCAGCCCGTACACACTCAGCACGAATAGGGAGAGGCGTACATGCAGGGCGTGCGGCAGGAAGGTACAGTGCTCGAACGTGTCCAGCGCGTCAGACGGCCGAGCCAATATGGCGGCCACGCCCACCAGGGCAGCGATGGTGGCCAACACTGCCAGGTGGTAACGGATCTGGTGGCGACGGACACTGAACCGGTACTTGTAAGGCCACTGGCTGGTCAGCGCGCGGTCCACCAGCAGCGACGCAACCGTGGCCGCCTGTAGGGTCCGCGTGGCACTCAGACTCCACACGAAAGCACCACACGCAGCCGAAGACTCGGGCCTCATGAGGCTCAGGAGAGCATAAGCGAACACTTGCAGCGCCATCAGCAGCTCTTGCACGAACACTGCCAGCAGGAAGAGATCTACTGAGCGCCACTGGCGGCGGTAAGAGTGGAAGACCCCCAGCACCCAGGCGCACATGAGGAAGATGAGGGGCGCGGCCGCCGACAGCCCGATCCAGCTGTATGTGAGGGCCCGCATGGTGAGGGTCAAGCTGGGTCAGCGCGGGTCAGCTGTGGCCCCGCCCCGCTGCTCTACCGGCCCGACACAGCTCATCGACACCACCATCTTAGTCGGTGGTCCATGGTGAGGCAGGACTGGTTCACCCTCACACGGGCCATCACTCACGGCACGACGCCTGGCCGGGTACTGTGCTGCCCCTACTGACGTTGTCTTGTAACATCCACCGCAGCAAGTCAGGTCCTCACTAGCACGTTCCTCTCTGAAACAAACATCAACTGAATATTAATACATGCACAGTAAGTCTCGTCCACCCAGCACTCTGGAATATAACTGTCGCATAACATAGAGTATCAACATAGTACTTTGTATGACTGCTAGAATTTCACCTGACACTTTGTGACGTCCAAGGAGAGCTACACATCGTTATGTAGTATCAGTACAAGTAACATAAGGGCTTCAGTATTATTGTGACGACATGATTATGACCCTCACTCAGATAAAAATAATACAATTAACATCCAGATGTTACTTGCGTGGCCAGTTCTACTTATTATATAATCCATTAAGATTAATTGACGTAATGTTTTTTGCTATTCAGTAAAGATTTTTTTTCGTGTTTTAGTGATGATTTTACAATGTCGTGTCGCCACATTTACTCTACCAAAGGTTCATACTAACATTTATTTTGTTAATGGCGTCCAAAGCGAACTCAAATTGGCGCAAATTAATTATCTAATTTATAGGATTCATTACTGTGCTTCGTAAGAGCTTAATGATGTGGTTCAGAGTACAGGTGCAGGTGTCCCATGCACGTTAACGCCTTTGGCTTCATGACAAAAAAGGTGAAATTTTATGAAGATCAGTGTCGCGGCCACAGAGTGAATGAAGCTGAACTCATCCAATTCCAGTATATAATTGTCAATAACTTTGGTATTCTAAATTTCACAACATAACTATTTAGGAATGTATTTTAGTTAATGTTAAGTAATGTCTGGTGAGGGAAGGTGGGTTTTATTTCGCTTGATTTAGACAACATGATGCCTCAGCCGCCATAATAGACATGAACGGCAATACTCACTTTTATGATTATGTATAAAAATCTAGTTGTCACTGTAAATATCATTTCATAACAAATTCATTGCAAAAGCGGAAATGTTACACAAACTCGAGTAAAATTGTTGCCATTATCTGCCACACCGTACAGGAGTGCAGGTTCTGTAATAAAAAATATAATATAGGCCTCCTAGGATTTCTTAACTTCCCTAACATGAGATAAATTAGCTACTCCGTGTACCGCCCGTCGTTAGGAGGGAGAGGAGGATTACGTGCAGGAACCCGTGCACACCAGCGCCTCCAGTCAACAGCACCAGTGCGAGAAATCGTAAGAGAAGCCTTTTTGCTAAAGGCGTATAGCTTTTGGAGACACGATAGATCCTAGAGATTTATACGAGAAATCTCTTTGTGACTCCCGCCCCTATGAGCATCTTCACCCACGTACCGTTTTCTAAATGCCAGGGTGACCCCTGACTGGTGGGTGGCAGCGCCTACGCTATCCACACACGTGCCCAGCAAACTAGACCCCGTGCAGGGCAAATTAAAAAAATTCTCTGCCTACCACTTCAGGACGGCTCACTCATGATAAGGTAGAGGGAAAAAACTTTACGCTTCAGTGAATAATGAAGAGAGACTTAAAATCAGTCAAGTTGACGGCAGACAAACATAAAACGGAAGGTTTTTATTTCCTGTAAAAAGAAAACTGGTTTTACTTTTGAGAAATAATGTAAATATTATATTATTAAGTGTTGTGTGTGGAGGGTACAGGGTACAGTACACCATGACAGCTCAAAATTCTGCCAAGATGACGACGACCCGGCCGGGCGGGCTGCCGGCTGAACCATTGCACGCACAATACTGTATTATACCAAGATTTTACGATCCTTAAGTTAATATTGATCTTGACGAGTAAGTTGAAGTTTGTGAGTTAAGTTGGTATTATTGCCGACTTCTGCTTAGCTTCCCACTGTCACCATCAAGGCTTACATCATTATGTTCTCCGTGGTGGTGACTCTTGGCACACTTAACAGAGTAGGACCTCCCTCTCTCGATTACCATAACACCCCTTTAATGGTCTCGCCGCACTCCTCACCCACCTAAGACCATCACACGAGGGAGAGCGGCAGTCAACACGAAGAAAAGGAAAACCGGAAATAAGAACCAAGGAGTAGAAAAGACAAAATTGTTGTGAAAAAGAGAATATAAAACGATTGCTGAAGTTATTAATCTATTGAGTCGATGGAAAGTTATTGCGTAGAAACCAAATCCAAGTCACTATCGAGCAGACAGATGGGTAAATTCTATATCCCCCGAACTGTGTATTTGGGAATGAAAAGGAAAATAAAAAAAAAGAAAAAAGAAAGATGCAGGAAGAAAAACGAACAGTAAAACACAGATGCGGTAAGAGCTATAAGGTTATTTGGACTTGGTTTTGCAAACTAATCTTATCTGGCAGAGAACACAACACAAGTATTCTTTCTTTTGTAATTGTCATACTGATGAGAAAGAGGCTATGGGGTGTATTGTGTAGGTGAGGAGGGAGTGTGCCACGGACTCTCCTCTAGGTAGTGAGATGGCGGGTTTTCTCGTGGCCGCAGGCAGTATAGGAAGATCAATATTGGTTTAGTTGTTGGCACTGTAACACAAACATGGGAGGTTTCCGCTAACACCACCCTCACTCACAGCCTGCGATCGTCGCCCGAACTAACTGTCGCTACACACTTGCTTCTCCACTTATTTAACAGTGTAAACCGAGTAAGTGCCTTCAGGAGGACTTGTAGCACGTGACACCGGGTTGTAGAGCAAGACCTGGAGCAGAAGGTCTTTTAAGATGAGCAGACAGGTGTGACCAGTGGCAGGAAGGTTACAAGAAAAGGAGAAGAGCTTGAATACGGTGATGAGAAGTTGAAGTAGAGATGGAGGAGGGATAGAAGGTGATGAGAGGTAGAGAAAGGAGAGAAGAGGTGGAAGGTGAACTGTTGGATGATAGAGGAAGATGAGGAGTGAGGTAAAGTATGAAGGAGGAGGTCTGAGTAAACATACCCGTCCTCTAGACTACAGAGTAGGAAGCACACAGCCACACTCCACCGCCAACACTGCACCGATAAAAAAGACAGTTTATAAATGTAGCAATAAAACCCTTCATGCCTAGAGAACAATGGGGCCATGGGAGCAACACACAGCGCTGATGATGGTGTTGACGACAGGGGAACACTTCCTCGCTCTAGCGGTAGTCAGCTGGGCTCCTAATTATTGTTATGACATACAGTGACAGAGGTGGGCAGGTTGGTGGTGAACTATAGGTAGTAGGAGTGAGGAATAGTACTCTTGGTGAGATAGGTGAGGAGACAGGCAGCCTAGATGGCAGGTAGTAAACAAAGCAGCAAAGGTGACCATTATCACCAGCATTACCTGAGAGCTGGGGTGAGAGAGAGGGTAGCTGACTGTGACACAAGGTACCACAGTGTTTTGTTAGATAAAGCATATAAATGCATGTGGTAATTCATATGAACCAATTCTGGGAGAGACCTTTAACGGCCGAGTAGGTCTTTGTCGACAAAAGTTTTTACTAATGTCCTTATCGTCGGTGTTAATTGTTTCTAGTTTTATAGGTCAGCATATAAGGAGTCTGTAAGTTTAATTTGAGCGTTTATTTTACCTGACCTAACTTAGAGGAGTAAGAATAACACGTTGGTAACCCAGTGCTTGTAACAACAATGGTCCCAAGGTTGATTTAGATAATATTCCTAGTTTTTATTCAGGGTTTACATCCCTGCACTGAGGGCCTTAGGCAGTCCATTGTTCCATCAGCTGTCACACCAAAGAGCCTGTGCGTCACAATGCTCGTCGCACCCCCCTCCCCTCCATCTCATCTAGGGAAGGTAGAAGGTACCTACTAGATTCCCTCACGTCCTTCACAACACACGGGTCTTGTGGAGGACGACTACGTGTGGTGACAAAGAGTAAAAAGGTTACTTGAGTCATCATTGTCACTTTGTTAAGCACTCTGGCTGTAACCTTTTTACTCCTCCTCTTGGGGCGATTGACCAACGATTCCTTTCACCTTGTCTCTCATAAGCTTGTGTACATTTCTTAACTAACCACTTCTTGCAAATCGTTCCTTGAAGTTGAATACCACAGAGCTTGCAAATGATTAGCATAACTCAACAATTTTACTGCAAATACACTTCTTGAAGGCAGTCGGCTGACTGATGTAAACATTGTGTTATATCCTCTCTCTCTCTCTCTCTCTCTCTCTCTCTCTCTCTCTCTCTCTCTCTCTCTCTCTCTCTCTCTCTCTCTCTCTCTCTCTCTCTCTCTCTCTCTCTCTCTCTCTCTCTCTCACGCCACACACGGCCAGCTCCTGAGTGTCATAAACCTTCTGTCGATTCAACAGTACCGTAATAAAAGTTCGACCTTGAGCCCCAAATTCTTGTGGTAGAAAGGTTTAGGCTACTGGACGTCTGTCTGGCAACAAGAAATACCTCTTGAGTGGTCGGTGGAAAGACTGACCTTTCGCCAAAATCGCCCGGAACTTTGTCATTAACCTCAAAGGTGAAGCCCCCAGGTCCCTGACGGTCGAAACCCACCCACCACAGGCTCCAGTAATTGTTGCCACCGAAGTCACAAAGGCAGTATAATACAAAGGATTTTCTTTTTTACACAATACAGTATAAAAAGTTGTAATAAGTTCTAGCACTTGATACATTCCGCCTTATTAGTGATACCGCATGACTAGACGACCAGCGTGTATGATAGGAGCGTTTAATTGAATTCATTGTAATGGTCAGCTCACACCTTTAAATATTATGCATTTAGACAGGTATTACAGGAGCAAAAAAGAGGTCATTATCAGATACAGCAAGCAGGGAAAGAAGGCAGTGTCGAGCCAGAGAATGTTATTATCTTCTGTAAGTCGGATATAAAATGACTGACGAGTTACAGGAAAGTGATAGTTGTGTTAATGTTGTTGTGTGTAGCGTCAGTCCACTCGTGAATTAGAAAGTTTGAGTACAGTAGCAGCTGTCCACTCCTCACCAGCACCTGCCACTCCTCACCAGCACCAGCCACTCCTCACCAGCACCTGCCACTCCTCACCAGCACCAGCCACTCCTCACCAGCACCTGCCACTCCTCACCAGCACCAGCCACTCCTCACCAGCACCAGCCACTCCTCACCAGCACCAGCCACTCCTCACCAGCACCA